CCGGACACTTGACTATATGACATCCATTGTTATCAAAATCAGGCATATATTTGGTGATGTCAACTGGCCCTGATCCCAAATCAACAGTCATGCCAAATGTTAGTTTAGTAGTATCCTGGTCTATTTATAAAAATAATTGTTTAAATAATGTAAAATTTTAGAATAATTATATTGTATTTATAATGATTTTAGATTTTTCGAATAATTTAGATAACTTACTCGCTGTAAACTCAATGTCCGTGGTAACTTGCTCATCCAAATGAAATTCGCATGGTGACTTTGAGCATTTGCTAATATCCAATGTTTTAATTTCAGCGTGTCCTATTAAGCATTAATAATTTTAAATAGTAATATAATAGTACAGTATTTATACTGTAGTTAAATATATTGGTCATGGTAATTTTATTACCGCAGTCTTTGTAGGGTGAGCTGGCTGATGCCAATAGTATGGCCAGACTTATAATGACTACTTTCAACATTGTTTTCGTAAGTATTAAATTTTGAAATTTGTTGAATTAATAAAAACTTATATGCTGGCTAAAATATATACCGAGTTTATATACTTTTACTTTCATAGGTAATAGGTATGGATTATAATAATTTTATCATCAGTATTTTTAAAGTAAAAGTTAATTAACTTGTTTTTAGATATGTGCCTTGATGATAATAATATAGCAATTATTACTAACTTTTTAATCTATAGGTTGTACAATGTTTACAATCAATTGCACCATATTATGCTCTTTTGCTATCAAAAGTTGCCTGATAATAAATTTCACAAACTTGCTCTTTTGTAATTATCAATGTACTTATTAGTTATTTAGTTTGTAAATATAATTATTTCAGATATAAATTGTATCATTTTTATAAGTAATTATTTAAACATGTGCCATTAATTAAATATTATTTAAAAATATGCTGTATAAATATTATACATTGCTCGTAATGTTAAACTCCAACTTGTAAGCATAATAATAAAAAATTTTAATTAAAAAATATAACCTTTAGACATTTCCAAATATAATTAACTACTAGTACATTGCTAATTTTAATGTATTAATCGTTATTTTTAAACATAACTCAACTATTTATCGGTTAATAAATGATAACAAAAGAGCATAATATGGTGCAACCCTATTGCAAACAGTTAACATTGTACTTATCGATCGTTCACTAAATTGTGCAAGTAATTATTATAATATTATCATCTATCAAATACTGTACTGTACTACGTAAATTTAAACTTTATGATTTTATTAAAAATCAATATGCTTTTGTCTATAACATATGATCCACTGGCTGCTTAAAAGGGTTATCTATTTTTCAATTCAAACTGTATACAAAACATAATCATTGCATTTCTCAAAGTAATAAACAATTGTAGATACTATAAATGCAATGATTATGTTATGTATACAGTTTGAATTGAAAAATAGATAACCCTTTTATGCATGTAGACAATATAATCTCAACTGAGATTTTTATGTCGAAAATAAGGAATCGATAAATCCAATATTTTTTTGACAATATTGCAGGAATATAGAAAATTCCTTGTATAGTATAATTAAATATATTTTAGTTAAACAAAGTTAATTAATATATTTAAATATAATTAAGATTTTTTCAAATTTTATACAAAATTTTATTTTTAATATTAAGGGAAAATTTTTAATCAATCCTTTCACTGCTGACTAATAATTTTAATAATTTTATTCGTAATGAAGTTATAATGTTAAGATAAAACTCAAATTTGAAATAATTGTTTAAGTCCACAAATATTAATGATTTCTATAGTCAATTACCACAAGAGTTTATTAGGCTTAAACAAAATGGTTTCAAAATCATAACTCTTTTTCCAACAACATATGATTGTGAACATCTTTTTTCTATCATGAACTTAATTAAGACCAAACAAACGAATAGATTATCAGATAAATTACTAGAACCGAGACTTCGAATATTCAGCGCTAAAGATATCAAACCAAATATTGAACAAATAATGACAAAATG